CTTTTCGCAAAAAGGCGCAATTTCAAATTTGCAAATATCTGTTATTTAATTTAACTCTATCTTTTAGATTGTCAGAAAATATTTTTTTGTGCGCTGATACTGATTTTAGTGCTTTATCAATTGAATTGTGTATTTTTATCGGATTAATATTTGAGAAACATTTGCGCAATTATCGCAGGGCCTACAAATTTAGTAGCACCATCTTTTTATTCTACCGGGCCTGCGCTTTCAGAAAATATATGGTTTGGGGGGTCTTTTACAAACGCTGGCAGCGCAGCAGTTGAAAATCAAATCAATGGGAAAAATTGCAAAAATGGCGTGGCCAGCTGAGGTGCAAAATGTTCCGGAGGGCTTGGCATCGAAAGGGTTAAAGCGTCGATTATGGACTTTTTGGGGTACTGAATTTTGTCGCCGTTTCACAGACGCACACAATTTTTAATCTGGGCATGTTGGTCATCTATTTACTCGTCGTAACCTCATCTTTTATATTTAAAAAAAAAAAAAGGGGTATTCTATTGTGTTTTGGGGCACTAAATTTAACTAAGTGCATTTTTTACTAAATGTTTGAGTTTGCTAATATCGAGCAACATAAAAATTTGCAACTGCTGCCATTTAATTCTACTGGGTCTTGTCTTTCAGAAAATCTATAATGTTTGGGGGTTTGAAAAAAGTTTCAGGCCTAAAAAAAGGCCTTGGAAGCGAATTGTAGTTTCAGGCTGGATATTTGAAATCTTGGAAGTTCCTCCAGTTAGCCAAAGAGACTAAAAGATGGCCGGTCAGTTTTCTGCCCTAACCACTGTTTGAAATTCCTACTGCTCCTACTTGAGGACACAGCAGAGTAGCCTCTCTTTCTTTCCCTCAGAGTGGCTATGTCGGAGACTTGCTGATGGTAGCTGAAACTACCCTGTAATGTTAAACTCTGGCCATCAGAGGTTGTTCTCCATTGTGCTTTTTCTACAACAAAAGCCGTAAAGAAATACACAGTGCTCAGAGAGTGTGCTATGCTGTGTTATTCACAATATGGCAGCAATAGAGGACACAACAGCCACAAAGAGGTACACTGTGCTCAGGGGGTGCTCTCTGCTGTGTTATTTCATCCCAACACATCAACCATAGAGGGGCACTGTTTAAGACTCAGTGGAGGAGCATTGTGCCACAGTTCTCTGCTTACTACTGCAACAGCCCCCTTTCTTTCCAACCAAAAGCCTGCATTCAGGGACATAGTCTGTGACAACAGATGATGTGGTTATTGCACTCTGCCTGCAGTTACAAAGGTCACACAGCCATACCCACTCAGCTGGTCTGGGTGTATTCCTGAGGAAGTGTGGTAGTTATTTTCCTTGTGCAATCGATTTTCACAGCATGTCTTGTGTTAAAAGGAAGGGTGGTCATTTTACAGCTGCAAACTCACATTTTTTTTCTTTTCACTTTTTACAGATGCCAGGCAGAAACGTCTGCGCTAGAGGCCATTTCTGAACCCCCCCAGCTTCTTTTTCATCAATGGATGCTCATTCCTCTTCCAGTCACACAGCAGCTGTGTTTTTCTTGTTATGCAAGGATTTATGACTTGTTGCTAACCCAAATCACAAAAGGCATACAAGTCTACCACCATCTTCCCTAGCAGAATCTGATGAAGGAATGCCTAATATTTCTAATTTGTCAGGAATTTTCTAGAGCAGTGGTAGTAAATTAAAATTTCATGGAGGTCCAGTGACCAAACTTTTCTTCAAGCTGAGGTCCGAATCATGGTCCAGAACAGTCACTCAGTGCTTGTCTGCACCATGGTTCACCATTTAGACTGCATTCACACCAGCAGCTGTGCTGTAACAAACAGCTTCTAGTGTGTTTCGTCAGACACACTGCTGATGGCATAGATTCCAGCATATCACACTTTTTTAATTAGAATTTTATTAAAATGTCACAAACAACATTTCATTACGTTTTATGGGCAAACCGCAGTGAACCATGGTGTACTACATCGTGGCTGGCTTCACTGGAACAAAAATTACAGCATCCATCAGAGTGCCCCTTACATTAGTTTTCCCCAACAGCATGACCCTTGAGAACAGGCGTCTCCTTCAGAGTGTTCCCTTAGATTAGGTGTCCCCATGAGTGTGCCCCCTTACATTAGATGCCCCCATTAGAGTGCCCCCTTACATAGTTGCTGAGGACTTTGTCATGAAGAACCTCCTCCCATAGGTTGACTCGCCTCTGTCTTGCATTAACATGTGACCATTCCTACAGACGTTTAAGGATCCCACTGACAAGGAGATGGATTAAATTCCTTCACCCATCTACTCCTTGATAGGATTCTTCTGCTCATTTCTCAGACTTTAACCAATTGGTCTAAGCTGCTCAGCAGAGATCTCGCAGCTGCTGGCTGACACTCAACTTATCGATTGTGTGGATCAGATGATTATCACGTGAAATTTTATGTGCAGCTGAAGCTGGATGCGAGCTGGGCTATGTCTCAAGTAATCCTTTCCTGTTAAGATCTGGAGGGTGGTCTAGCTTAAGTGCTGGTTAAGTGGAGCAACAGTGTTAGAAGGTCTGCTTAACCCTAATTTTCCTGGAAGACTTTTTTTGGGTCTTTGATGGACAAGATCTTTACGGTCGTGAGGGGGGGGGGAGAGCATACACCATCCCTGGTAATGCGGGTTGACTCCATCCTATTCCTTTCTGTTCTTCAGAGACCTTCAGAATCCACAAATAGGGATGCACTGAAATTGAATTTTTAAGACTGAAACCGAAAATAAAAAATTGTCAGACCGAAAAAACCAAAAATGTTTTCCAACCTTTTCTAAATGTTTAAAATTATTTTTTAATTATCTTATTTATATATTTTCTACTTTACTGTTGGGGGCTTTGGTGAAAACAATCAGGGGTCTAAAATAGAAAAAAAGGGATTGAGGACACCAAGTTCTCAATTTCTTTTTTTCTGCAGTCATTCGTTGAATGAATAGGAAACCTCTATACTGAGTGCTCGTGTCCATTCATAAACTGTGTCCTGTTATTTACAAACACTCAACGATTGGCTGACCGCTGAGTGTGTATAACCCGCTCTCCATCCTCATGACTCCGTCTGTCACAGGAAGCCTAACAGGGTGGTGCGAGAGGAGCGCTAGGCTTCTTGTGACAGCCGACTCCTCCCTACACTGCTTCCAATCCTGAGCAGTCTGCCCTCCACTCAGCCTCCTGAAGTCTTCTCTTCTCCCCGCTGTGTCTGTGTCCTCTCAAATTCCTGTTGCCTCTCCCGACACAGGCAGGGGAGAGCAGCAGGCATCGGGGGCCCCAGCGGGGAAGAGAGAAGCCTAGATATGCACTAAATTTTTGACCTTTATGGTACTTTTGGCATCCTGCATCCCTACCCACAAGTCTGCTTTCACCCACTCCGACTCAAGGGGTTCTTAAGGTCTTCAACAATCCAAGGGATCTAAGCCAGCGCATAAAACAGCCATTGGATGTGGACTGGATGTCTTATGGATTTTACAGAGAATTGACACACCTAGCCAATGCGTGGGTGCGGGAAGTAGCATCAGAACCAGGTCGTTGTAATTCCTGTCCCTCCACCAGAAAAGTTTCAAGGTTTCTCTTTAAACCTGTTTACAGTTCAAAACTCCCAGGATGTATTCATCCCATCTTGAATTAAAGGCTTTCAGTGCCTTTATAATGTTCTCAAAAAATTTGGATCAAATTGATTGTCAATTATTGCCTTTCTGCTTTGCGGGGGGACTTCTTAGCAACCATCAACGTAAAGGATGTGTATATACACATTCCCGTCTTCCAAGTCAGCATCAATTTCTTTGCTTTGTTGTTCATAAAAACAACCACTATCAGTTTGTGGTTTTTACCACAGCCACACAACCCTTCAGCCTAGCCTCGATCCTGAAACCTTTCACAAGGCCATAAGGTCCTTGCGCCAGTTCTGTCAGTCATTGCATACCTGGACAATCTGATGCTGCATTTGGCCTCTCTGACCTTGGACTCTACCTTGACACCAAAGTGTCAATCATCTATACTGTGACCTAATTTTGTCCACATTAATTACAAATAATGAATGATAGTTTTTTATTTTCTAAGAAAATACAGTAACTAAGTAACGTATGTCTTTTTACAACAATATCGGACGCAGCAATGCGAGAGTTACTGCAACATGGTGCTAATCTGCTTTTTTCCCAGTTTTCTTGTCTTGAGTTTTGCGAGTTTTACAAAAACAAGAAAACCGTGCAATTTAAACCAAATTTTCATAGCTCCACTATTATGCTAATAAAGATATATCAAAGTAACATTAAACAGTAGCCTAACTTCTTACAAAAATGTAGCTCCTTTGTGCATAATTTGGCTGTAGATCCCCCCAGTCATCTCTGAATTGGTGCCGACAATGTCCTTTTTTTCTGGAGTGTAACTTTGTTCTCCTTGGCCCCTGTGTGTGTTGTAAGGTAGGCACTTGCTCCAAGCATTTTAATAGTATTTACAACCTATGGACTACCTTTTTTCATCAGCATTCCTTATTTTTTGTCAAACCTGCTGAATTCTTTCATGCTTGACGTGTGAGCTATTACACCTGAATTCCCCTGACTTTGATCAACCTGGTCCTCTGTTGTTTTTTGGGCCTGCATCAGCTTTACCTAAATCCTGAAACATTATTTTTAATTAAAATACAATTTTTCAAATTAGGGGTTTAAATTAATGGCTGGAAAAAAAAAAAAAAAGGAGGAGGGGGGGGGAAAGATGGGTAGGCATGGTGAGTCCATTTAAGTATAACTTCTGTAAATGTACATTTTAAAATGATAATCAAACCCCAAAAAACTACCAGTAACTTAGTAAATGTAAAAGGTGCATTTCAACCATTTTTCATAACAGTGGTGGATGTACTTTATTTTACCTATAATACATTTTAAAGCAATCCCTACATAACGTTTTATTTATTGCACATTATACCAGTGTCTATAGAAATCTATAGAGTCAACCTATCATAATAATGACACTATACAATCTAAAAGGAAAAAAATAAACTTTTAATTAGGGTTATCAGGTTCAGGGGACTGCAGGAATTCATAGGGGTCTGGAATGTCCTGTTGCTCTCCAACACTGAGACGAGAGGGGCTACCTTTAATTTGGAAACAAAAAAGTTAAAATTAGTCACACAGAATTGAAAACTAGAATATGAATAAAACTTTGGCAGAAGAGACATTCAAGTGTTTTCCCTATTTCCCTCAGCTCATTTACGGCATCTCTAAGATAACTTTAAGGGACCAGCTGCCGGGGAGGAAGTAATTACCGAAGATGAATGTGGCGGTGCTGGAGAAGGGCACACTTGTACGGCGAGTGTGCCATCGTGTGCAAGTATGCTATATATACTTGCACATTATGGAAAAATCCATCATCTAACTCAGCACTGCCTATCACTATTGGTTACAGAATATAATATATAAATGTGATAAATGTATTGTTAGATTGTACAAAAAATGTTCTGTCACTTCAATTTAAAGTAAACATGTCCTTTTCATCAAAGTGAAGAAACTAATATTAATGGTAATGTATTGTCCCAAAATATGCAAACCCGTTAAATGTGAACCAATAAATAATAAAATTACAAATATCTGAAAGACCTGACAGGAAACCCAATGGCCAAATGAAAAAGTGCCTATAGCAGGCACTCAATGCTGTTGCCAATTGTGAGGCAGTAGCTTAATGTTGTCAATCTGTAACAGGAACTGCAGGTTTTCTAGGTGAGAAACTTTGTAAAAGATACACAAAAATTGCTTTAGAAATGCACAACATGACAAACATACAAGAAAAAAAATTGCTCATTAAGTCTTCTCATATAAAAACACATGACTCACCAAGATGATGGTGATCTCTTTCTGAGTTGTTGGATAAAGAACTTATGTTTGAAGAGGGTCGAGATCCAACTCTGTCATTGTGTACATCGTGGAAGTCATGCAAAAGCTTAGCTGTATCATCCAAGTTAAGATGTCCATCTTCATGGTCAAGCTCTTTCTTCACTTTTCCTAGTAATTAAAAAAAAAAAAAGATCCTTTTAGAACAGCTGAATAGAATATATGTTAACAAAGTATATCTAATGACAAAAAAAAAACAAAAACTTTAATTTGCTTGTGTAGGGAATGGATAAAATTCTTGTCAGATGTTTTTGTTTGCTAGCTGGGTCTCATTGGGGAGATTTCCCTACATTTCTAACCCTGAGATACAGTGAAGCTCACAGATATAGAAAGTGAAGAGAAATTCCCTCTTAAACAGCAGTCAGTTTTTTATTTTATTTAAAAATTAACATTTAAGGATATATTAATGAATACGGAACTGCATTAATTTGTATCTTTTATAGCTACTTAGAGTTCAGCCTTTTAACCTTCTGCATGTCATTTAAACATAGTGCCAACTCTACATTTAAAACCGGGATTCTTGTTGGAGATGTGGTTCAGCACAAGGCACGATGCTTTTGGTCCTGTGTTAAATTGCAATCTTTCTGGGATTCGGTACACTCGGTGATCACTGGTTGGCCATAGTGGACTTGCGTGTCAAACCTGCAGCATGCCTCTTGCATCTAACTGACAGATCCCTCACCAAGTATAAATCCTTCCCGACTGTACACTTGGTCAACACAGAGCGGGCCTGCATGCCACCTGTGCGGAAAATGGCCTCAAGCCCTTACTATACAGATGGGCATTGCCGGGGTCAATTATATCTACATGATAGAAAATCTTACAGCCACTTTGAAAAACCTAAAGAAGTTTCTCTCTACATGAAGGCCTTGGAGTTACTTTACGACCACTGACCCAATATCTGCAACTCATGGCCTCGTGTTCTACTACAGGTACATTGTCTTCCCATGTTTAATTTAAGGTCCAGTCATGCATTATTCCCTCCTACATTTAGTGTCCTGTCCTCAGGGGGTGGGACCTACTGCCTTTTTATCCTAATACTTTATTAATAGGTTACCTCTTACACTTCTCTTTCCCAAACTTTTCCCTTCTTGTTATTTGCAGATATCGCTTTCTTACCCAATCTCTTACCATTCTATTATTTCACCTATATGACTACCTCTGCAATGTCCTCTATTAGTACATATATGTTGTTAACGATTGGGTTGGACCACCATGGTACAACCCCACGCTTCTTGCTTATCAACAAAGGATGTCTGTTTTGCTTTTACAGAGCACAAGCTACTGTATGACACCGGTCTTATTAGTCACAGTCGAACTTGAATATCGTTGAACTTGTAACTTTTACAATGTTGCTGTTCTGATTTTCGTCACACCTTTGCTACCCACTTAGGTGGAGTGGCATTATATATTGGATTTGTTCATAAATGCTCTTACATACTTTTTTGTGTGCAATAAAGAAATAAAAAAAAAACACCCCCGAGATTCTATTTCACACAATGCCTAAACTAGTCAACTGTATCAAAGTGACTCCTTTTCTGGATAATCCTACCAGCAAATTTAAATTACATACATGTCAAGCTATATTTTCAAATAGATATGTCAAACCAATGGGCCAGATGCAGTAAGTGTCTTCCTCCCTGCCATTGCATATCCATTTAAAGTATATTAAATTTACATATTTTGAGTATGTACTGCAATATTTTCTAAGTCAAAATCCTTGTTTTTAACCCAGAGTGTGCTAAGGGTCATTAAAGGAAAGTGAATCTAAAGCCTTAAATACCTGACGTCAACGACCCAAAACAAGATTTTTCTCCAAGTTCACTAGCTGTATTCTTGTTGCAGATGAGTACCGTAAAGTATTGAGGCCAAAGACAGCCAGGCACTACCACTTTCATAAGCTTTTGTATGTTTCTTATAGAGGTTTCCTTTAATATTTAAAGCAGCACTGGGAAAAAACAAAAACCTATGAGCATTTATGTATACATACCTAATGAATTGAGCATTGACATATCAAGGGATACGTCGGAATATGATTTCATGGACATAAAATCAAGGACAGAACTGCTGCCATCAGAGTCCCCAATCTGGAAAAAAAACAAAAAAAAACACTGAACAGAATTCTATAGGCCAGCAGGTTTACCATTCTACTAATAACATGTATGCAGAAATGAAATACTTCGGAGCCACCACCATCCACAAAGTTTTTAGTGATGTCTCGTCTGTTCCACATGTTACAGGTTTTAGGTTTTGTAGTCTACATTATACATTGTGTTTTTTGGGACAGAAAGGGCTAAATCTTAAAAATGCATTCAAGTACCTTAACTATTAACAACAATGTAGCTTGTCTGTTTATCACTCAGCTGTAGATCCTCAAATAATCTCTGAATTTGTACTGACACGGACTTCATTCTGGAGGGTGGCTACTTTTGTTCGCCATGGTCCCCGTGTGTGTCATAAAGTAGCCACTACTCCAAGCTGCTCCTGTGATGGACTGCAATCTCACGTTTAGTTCACTAACTTGTATTGAAGTTATAGTCCATCATTGGAGTGAGCTTGGTGCGGTGGCTACTTTACAACACACACATGGACAATGGGGAAACAAAAGAAATCACGCTCACGTAAGATGCATTTTTGTTATTAATTGGGGTTCTTTAATGCATTTTTAAGGTTTACCTCCTGGGTTTAGTGCCACTTCAAATGTAGTAGCTAAATTGGGAATAAATTGTAAAAAAAATGCATTTCCCTTAAATGTTTCCCCAACGCAACATTTACCGAATTTGCGCACCCCCATATATTTACTGCAATATATAAGTCCGCTGATTAAAGTTATATCCTATTAGTGCGACATTTATGTAATGTAGTAGAATGCTAAAGCTCTAAGTGAACATATGCGTTTTACTTTAGGAGAGCTTTATTTCCCTTTCAACAAGATGCATGCAGGGAAAATTGAGAAGCCCTAATCCAGACCCTCATGCAGCTGTATATCACTACAGCAGTGATCTGTTGATGCAATGATGTGCTCTGCCCAGGCCTCTGTACACATAAGAAGTGTCATGACATGACTAGACTACCGATGTAATCACAGTGCGGAAGCATTCATTTTAGATTCACTTCTACTGTGTGCTCCTATGGAAGCCCAGGAGCTAATCGTTTAAAAGGAGAACTATGAGGTGAGTGCTTTTCACTCACCTCATAGTTCTAGCCGACCTGTGACAAAGACTGTCACAGGCCGGCTCAGTAGATCGGGAAGTGAGCGAACACATACCGGCGTTCGCTCAACTCTCGATCCTGTCACAGCTCTCTGCCGTGACAGGGGAGGGGCTTGATTCCCCCCGCTCCGATCCGCCAGCTCTGACTGGCGGATCCAACGGGGGAGGGGGCGGGTACAGCTGGCTCTGCCTCTAGATAGGCAGAGCCAGCTGTCACTCACGCAGTTGGCGGATCCGGACATAATTGTCGGGATCCGCTTCAGCTGCGGCGTCTCAGTATACCGCGAGCTGTAGCTCAAGTATAATCGCAAGCTTTAGTTCAGCAAACAAAAGACTGTAGGTGTGGGTTTTTTTGGCATGAAATGGGAATTACAGTTTTTTGTTTTGTTTTCTTTAAAGTCTTGTCATACTCTCCTCTAGACACCTCACTGAAGCTCACAGTTAATGGCAGACAGAAGCTAGAGTAATTATAAAGAAATAAACAATAAGATAATCTTTGTCAATTGACTTTTATGCACAAAATCCCAAAAATATAATGCAAGATATTGTAAAACAGCACACGTTATGGTTTTTGTGAATTTAGACTACTGCATCTTAAAACTTTGTTCACACACTTACTTTAAGGTCATCTGGATGTCTTACTGGAATATTTCTTCCCTAGAATTGAAAAACCAACAGTTAGCAGTGCAAAATAACCACAATTCATTCTGTCCCTACAGAGGACTATCTAGCTTTGAGCAATGATTTACCAGTGGGCAACTTTGTATGGGCCAGTGGTTTAGAGAATATTTAGAAGTCATGGAGAGATGCATTTGGCATGCTTTAAAGCATGCTTTAAAGCAAGCTTGGAGCGGTGGCTACTTTATAAACACACAAATCTACATAATAAATCTGCATAAACACTAGAATGCATAATAAATAGAAGGGATAACACTGAATTAAAGTCACTCTAGGCTGACCAAGCGGACGGAATAGGTGTTTATGTGCCTCAGGAAGCACATGCATTACTGGAGGAATCAGGTGCTTTTATTATTTCTTTTATACAACTCCAGCAGTGCTTCAGTAACCACACATTAAACCTTTTCTATATATCAAAAGCAGGAGTTCTTAATATCCTATATACATTTTCAAACAGACAAATGTCTCAATTTTAAATTCATAATAGTCAGCATCTATAATGACAATACATCCACCCTTGTTGATGGGTTTCAATACAAAACCCTCCCTAACTGAAAGGGAGTGTTAGCTCTCAAGTCTGAATTCTTCATGGATAAAACATTACCCATTTACTGTAAATGGAATTTGTGTGTTGTTGTGTGTTGTGTGTTGTAACTACATTTTTAAGGTTGATTTTAAGCTCAATTTTTAATTGAATAAAATCAAATATAAATTCTGTTATGGACAATATGGATCCAACCAGGTCTTAGGGCAGAACCCCAAGCCTGTATTTAGCATGGACAATTCTTGTTGTGACAATTGTACAGATGAGTTATGTAGAACACTCATTAATCACTCTACGTCTGAGCTCAACGAATGCATTGACCATTTCTCATGATATCTCTTCTGGTGTCTCCAACCACCTCACCTAACCCTTGTCTGGTAAGCTTGATTTGTATAAATGTATAATTTGATGGGACAGAGGGCAAGGCAATAAGAGGAATGTCAGGTCTTATGTTGACTGTGAAATTTGACACGCCCAGAGAGGGCGGGGGCTCACGTAATAGTAAAGTTTTTTCTGGCAGCCAGAGGCTCTATTGATTGGCTACTAGCCTCTACTTTTTGCCAAGACTGAGGATCAACCTTTAATTTGAAGGCTCAATGTTACCTACTCTTTTGTGAGCATCATTCCACTTTTTGACATTTATAAAATAAAAATGTATCTACACTAGGGAAGGCGCACCTTGTTTTTGTTTTCTTATATATAGATAGAAAGATATATAAATATATATATATATATAATCATGTTGATTTAGTATTGCTTCTGACCTGAAGAGAGGTTAACTCTCGAAAGCTTGTCTTTTATATATTATGTTAGCCCAATAAGAAAGGTATCATTGCATACTGCAGTACTTTCTTTTCGTTTTTTGACATCCTATATTTATGATCTCTCGCTTCATCTCATTAGGATATAAAAGCCTTTCTTCAATTTTATAATAAAAGCTCTTTGAGCAATGCTCTAAAATATGGACCTGTTTTATCTGATAAAGGATTTTGGAATGGTCTCCTTCTGTTATCTGGTCCAGTAGGTCATTTACAATTTTCTCTGCATATCCCCCACAGTCTTTAACGAACTCTTGCAGGCTGTAACAAGAATAAAAAAACAATTTGTATACATACAGCAGAGATTGCAAAACTATGTACAGTCCGGCCACTCTATGCGAAGCACATTTTGTTAATTTTTCTTAGTCTTTTTTTTTTACCAAGAAAATCAACACAAAAACTCTTTCACGAACACATATGCCACATTTTAAAACTTTTAATAAACAGTTATTTTATTATTTCAGAACTTAAGGTACTAGGAAAAGGCAAAAATGCAGCATATGCAAAAGTTCCAATAATCTTCAGGTCTATCCTCCATTTCAATTTCCAAAAAATACCCAGTTAAGAGTGTGAACTAACATCTTGAGAACCCACAGGATTTATTTTTTTTTCTCATTTAAACTTTTATTGAAAAAGTATATATAAACAATAAAAGAAAACCAAGAAAACATAAACATAACAAACAAAGTATCACGTAAAATAGATAAGTGCAATCTGGTAACACAAGGCAGGTGGAAAGCAAAGACATTAAATATAAGTCACTGTGTACTCTATGTCAGACTGCCGTATCGTAGCCAAGGGGAGGTGGAAAATGAAGAGATGTACAAACTAGAGGTGCACCGAAATAGAAATTTAAAAACCGAAACGAAACCGAAATAAAAAAAAATTGTCAGGCCGAAACTGAAAATGTTTTTATTTTAGTTTTTTCAAATATTTTATTATTTATTTGTTATAAACGTATTTTTGTATTAATTAATTCATTTATTAAATATTTTAATTTTTTACTTTACTTTTAGGGGCTTCTGGGAAATATTAGGAATCTAAACAGACCCCTGATATTTCCCTTTTAAAATAGAAAAAGAGATTGAGAACACAGAGTCCTCAATCTCTCTTTTTGTATCCCCTGTTATCAATGAATAGGAATCCTCCGAGTGTTCCTGTTCATTGATAACATGAGAACAAAGTATGCTTACTATAAACACAATTATGAATGAACAGGAGGTGATGTAAATCACATCCCATTCATTCATAATTAAGGATATAACAACCATAATATGTACTCAATTATCTACAAACATTCAGCAATCGCTGAGTGTTTGCTCTCGCTCTCTTCTGTCACACACCGTCACAGGAGGCTGAGCGAGCGGAGCAGGGAGGAGAGCCCAGCATCCTGTGACAGCGCGGACTGTCTCCGCCCACACATCGCTCTGCCGGACTGTGATAGGAGTCTGAGCGGTGTGGGAGGAGAGACACCCGCAGCTCACAGCTCTCTCCTCCCGCAGCGCTCGGCCGGCTGTCACTTTCTCTTCTCCCCGCTGGGACACAGAGCAGCACCCAGTGGGGAGGAAAGAAACCAGTGATGCGCCGATGTATCGGCAGGAAAATGGCACTGTCGGCATTTAGCCAAAAGTGCCATTTTCGGCCGATATGTTTCGGCGGCTGATATATCGGTGCATCCCTAGTACAAACCACTGATATGCCGAGGGATCCCCGCCATTGGACCGGGAAAAAAACCTAATGTAGTCATAAACATGATAGGGTTCCGAACACAACAGAGCTGTCAATTGAGCCAAGGGTCTGTACATCTGGGCCGAGTAGACCGTAGATCAGGCTATAAAAATCCAGAGATGGTACTACGGAAGACAAATAGCAAAATAGAAGAGAAGGACAGAGAGTGAGAAAGGAAGAAGCCATAAATAGAGTAAGAAAAAGGGAGGAACTAGGCTGTACACAGAGGATGGAGGGGGGACGCATGAGTTCCACAGGATCTTTTAAGGAACTTTCATTTACTTGCCATAAGGTAGACTATGGGCAAAGCAGTGAGTGCTACAAAGTAATTAAAACCCAAACACAGTTTGCAATTATACCTTTATACATTTTTGCAGGCAGCAGTCAAGTTTAGGCAGTGATGATCTATGGCCCATCATTAATTATCCTTTAAAAGTCTAATAGCTGGAGTTATCATGCTTTACTACGATGCTTAATGTATATTTAGGAAATACAGCTATGTCCTTTTGTAGGCACATATGAAGTTGACCAGCAACTACAATAGCAAAAACAATACTATCTTAAGTGCCAGAGATTGAGCCACATTTGGAAAATATATGGAAGAAATTATATACTGCATTCAGTACCATGTATGAAGTTTGAGTATCTTTTGTAAAACATTCCCCTTTATAGCAACAGTTATTTATCATTATTTTTTTTTGATCCATATGTCCTATAGCCATTAGCTTTCTATAAGCAGCATATAAGTGCCAGTCAGTCTCTGTTTAGGAGCAAGAGGTAAATATGGAATATTGCTATGTAATGTAATTATACAAAACAAAACATGAAATGCAACGCTCTACATTCCTTTTAAAGTGCATCTAAACCCAAGAATAAAAAAAAAAAGACAAAAAAAACATAAAACGTATATATTGGAGTGAACTGTCAGTCTGAATCTCAGTTTCTACTCCACACAGAAGCAATGGATAAAAAGCAACATATACTGTGGGAGTTAGGTAACTGAATTGTAAAAAATAATACAAAAGTAAGATGTCTTTAACACACAAGAGATTTGAGCAAGCAGAAATAGTGGCAAAATCACCAGGAAGAAAATAAAAAAGAAGATGAAAAGGTATATTTTTCCCAGTGAGGGCTGTCCTGGAAGATTCCTGGATATTGAGTTATCGGGTAACTGTATTCACCTGCTAGGACGGCATGCGGGAGAGGAGATGAAGCCGTCCATAATGAGGAAAACAAAGGAATTCATGACCTAAGCCTGGTCTTGGCTGGAAAATAGACCAGAACATAAAGTGAAATTAAAGTCAAAAGGGTTTTTAAGCTGTTTCAGGTGCGGATTTCAATCTCTTACAATGAATGCTGCTCTTTGATGTTTAAAAGTTTTAGCTTCCTGCAGACTCAGCTGGTCCCCTGAGCACATTCCTCAATATCCTGTTATAGGGCAGCTTGCATGGTCCTATTGAGCCACCCTTGTGTGTGCTAGTAAGCAAACACGCAGGCATAGCAGGGCAATCCATTCTCCTTCCCCCTGCTCCCCTCCCCAAGCTAGATGGAAAGCTGCTGGCAACTGTGATGTTTCTTGTAATCTTGGCCTGGACAGAAAGTTCAGGGAAGCCGAGCTCAGAGAGTTGGAGTCGGCTGTTTGGAAACATTGTGACTAAATATTTGGGCAAAAATTTAAATAAATATTTTACTGGGTAATGTATACTTGCTTGATCTGGATTCATCCTTGAAAAAGGTTTCAAAGTGTAATAGTACTTTAATAGCATATCTAAATGGAATAGAAATACCAACTATAAGAAGAAAATTGAATGAAAGCCAGATTTCAGATATTTTTATTATTATTATTTTTAAGGGGAAAGGTTAGATCTCTGTGAAAAAGTAATTTGCTCGTCCGCATGCATATATTGATAAAGTACAATTAATGTGACTCCTCACATAAAACCTATATGAAGTGAAGCATATCAGATAATATGAGGCTAAATTTAAAAGCACTCTATATACCTTCTAGTAGCATAGACATGGATATATAAAACCTTTAGCAAAATGCCAAGTACGAGCTCTAAGATGAACTACCAAAACATTTTCACCTTGGATAACCTTTAAAAGACCAATACGTCTGCTGAAATGCAATGGGAATTGCATTTCAATGGGAAACAGAGGCCTCTTAAAGCTGCTTTATATAACCCACTTACAATGGTATAATGCCAGATTTTTCAACTTTGCACAGCAAGAAGGAGAGCTTTAACAATGGATTCTTCCCCAAAATTGCAATGGCGCTCACCACCCTTCAATGAAGACCTCTAGGTCCCATTTTACAAACTTCAGCCAGGAGTGGGATCTCACACACATATCGAAATAAGATATGTTAAAGCGACATTAAAGGCCACTTTAAAGGCACCCCAACGTTAATCAAAGCATTTACCTTAAATTATGTCTCTTAATCCGATCTTCTTCTTTCCTGATATTTTCAGCCTTCTCTCCAGCGCTGCGGCGGGTGCCCAGGCCAGCGCTGGTTCCCCTGGGCTTGCTGGCACTTCCTGTCCCACGGTGTCTGCATGCGGGTGCACGCGTCCATAGACATACCTTGCGTGACTCCTCGCGTGCCGTCCGAAAATGTGAACTGCGCATGTGCGCGCCCCAAGATCCTTTGCGGATGCCAGAGAATTTTCACATTTTCAGATGGGAGCGCGTGGGGAAGACACAGGTAAGTTTAAACCACTGTTAAAGCGGGGGTTTTTTTGTGTGAAACATTTTGCATCTATCTACTGCTTGCTAGCAGTAGATAGATGCAAAAACAGCTGAGAGCTTAGAAACCTTTAAGTCTACCAGTGTGCAGTCAACATGAGACTTATAAGAATTGTGCTAGGGACTGTGTTTCAGGTTTGGTAGGTGAAGCCATATTCCAGGGTACTGTCCTAGACGATTAACTGGAGAAATAAAAAGCTGCATAGTTCCGTAGCGTATACTACAAAAGGTCAAATGTTATTTTATGCAAAGCCAATATCTTTCTACAATGGCAATCAAGGTTTCAGAAATAAAAGACATTAACCTTAGTGCACACTGAATTCCTGTGTCATCACCATAACCGGCGTACATTAAATCCATTTCATCAGGCTTAAGGTCAGTGAAGAGTGTGTTGTTTTGTAATGAAAGAGCTGTACTTGTACTGTTAAGAAATGTAACTAGAAACAAAAGAAATTAATGTTATTACATGTATACAGTTATGTTAAAAATAAAATCACTTTTTTAATTTAAATAGCACTATCAAATATACAGCATCATACACATCTGTCTAGCCAGTAGTCGTCACATTCAACAGAACATTTTTTGTTGTTGTAATTTTTAAGCAATTTCATCACTCAAGTGGCTCGCTCAATTCAAATGCGCATCAGAAACATACCCTGTGGAAATACTCCTTTATTCAAAACCTTCATAGACATTCACAGCAATCACTGCCCCTTGCAGGAAGCTTGTTTAACTGCAGTATGGATATTAGAGTGCCAGCACATGCACATTCTGGTGTAAAAGCAGAGCTCCAACCAAAGGGCTAAATACATAGTTAAAATGAATGTACACAAAATATTTTACTTACCGTATTGTATTGGTAATTCTGCCTAGCAACTCTTGTGATTCACATTCCCCTGCTAAACAGCATAGCCACAATGGTGACAACACTATTTACTATTTTGGCTTTGCAGCTTACTATACCACATGACTGCTCATTGGACTACAGAGAGCATACATCACACTACTAAGGTCTTTCTTATTCTCTTCCAGTGAGCTGCCTAAAAACCTCCCCGTCCACAAGAGTATTGTTTCGCTCTAGGACACAAACTGCTATATGACTGTATGGACAGGAGTGTGCATCAATCTTTCAATCATCACTATTTGTAGATTAGAACGAGTATGTAAATGTCATCAACCACTGTTGAACATGCAGATGTGGTGCATTCCTCGGGCTGTCTGTAATCTGGCACTTACTCTGAGCCCACATGACCCTCACAGCACCTTGTTGATGCCCTGTCCTTGGTTCCTATTTACTGCCACTCTGGACTTCAGAGAGATGCCCTAGTTTCTGGGGTTTCTCTGGTGCTTGGAAAAGTCTAGATAGATCTTGGATCATACCCAGTAAATCAAAGTCTTCAAGCTTATTCTTTTGAGGGAATATTCAACTCTGCCCTCTCATACAAAGCGCAAATGTGTACAGAAATGACTAATTAGTGTATTTGACTTACAAACATTGCTTTCATCCATTCCCTGCATATGCTTGCTTGATTATTTTAGGTCTCCCATTAAACAAAACAGCAGTTGTCATCAATTCTGTTTAGGGCTGCAACAACTAATCGATTAAATCGATAATGAGGAGGTGTTGGCAAGGATTCTCATCATGAATTAGTTGATTTACAATTAGTTGCTGCCGCTCTGCTCTCCTCCCCACTGGTGCTGGCTGCAGTGGTCTGTGTCCCTTTGAATCCCCGCCTGTAAATCGGCAGAGGCAGCAGGGACACAGACCACTGCAGCCGGCACCAGCTGGGAGGAGAGACCGCTGTGTCTGCATCCCCTACGTACCTGCGCTGCTGCCCTGTCTCCTCTTCCCCGGCCTGTTCCGTGTTGCCACTGTCCCACCCAGCTCCGCCCCGGGTGCCGCTTCTGCCTCTACAGGCTTGCTGTCAATCAGCAGAGGAGGACCTGATGTAGAACTTTCTTCTTCGGGTCCCTTCTCTGCTGATTGACAGTAGGCAGTGGGCGGGTGCAATAGCCAGCCTGTTACTGGCTATTGCATTTTAAAATATCCAATAGCAGGCTGGCTATTGCTCCCTGCAATAAAGTTTTTTTAAAAAGTTAAACTTAAATTAAAGATTAAAAAAACACACAAATAACATAGCATCAATTTATTCTAAAATCACACAGTGGAGAATACCCCTGACTAGAACAGTCCTTCAGCTAGCATACTTTGCAGGAAAATCTCCACATTTAATACATAATTTAATACATTTATTCTTTCTAACCTTTATGCCTGCGGTCATCTTTAAAGCCCAATGAAGTAAAGCTAGGTAATAGTTTGCTTGAGAGAGAACCTAAATCCACTGGGTGCGTTTCTTCCTCTAAAAAAAAAATAAATAAAAAAAACACATATATATATACACACAACACATACAGCTCTTATTGGCAGCCAGGATTGAAAGAAATACCCAGGCCTTTAGGGTATGGGGACCATAAGACTCATTCCCCTCCCTCCCACATGACAGCAAGGGGTTCTTGCTGATTGGCTGATCTGGTGCCCAGGAAAGGATCCGCAACCCTGTGTAAGGAGTTTTGAAAAGGACTTTTTGACTTCACAACCAAATGGCGTCATGATGACTCATGGGACCTTAGACTGCTGGAGCGAGGCTGCAGGGACCGGATTAGCAGCCAGCTGAGCCAGAGATTCGGGGGTGAGTATATCTTTGTTTTTTTTAGCTCTTTAGACAAAACAAGCACTTATCCCTTGCAGTGCGGGGGTAGCTCCACTACAAGGGTTAAAACAGAACACTTGGCAAATCAAATCTTAACCCTTGCAGTGGGACTACCCCCACACTGCAAGGATTAAGTGCTTGTTTTGTGTAGGGAGTCAAAATACCAGTTATACTAACTCGAACCATGATCCCGGCTTGCTCTTAGACCAGTCCCTTCAACCTCGCTCCCCCTCCGCTCCAGCTGTTTAGGGTCCTGTGAGTCATTACGTTCTATACAGTGTATAGAACGTGAGAACGCCGAGGCACATTGCTGGAGGAGGAGACAGGCAGGATCGCGGTTCGGGTGAGTATAACTGTTATTTTAGCTCCCTAGACAAGACGATCACTAAACCCTTGAAGTTCAAGGGTTAAGATTTAATTTGCCGGGGAGTTCTGCTTTAGGATTTCATATGCCCGGAGTTCTTCATTAAGTGCTTTGTCCAGTATTGTCAAAGCATAGGTTTACTTTAATCTTAATCTTTCTATATGCACATTAACATTTATAAGAAGATACATTGTGGAGGAATTAGATGTGAATTAGTGTTTGAGATCAAGCAGACTGTACTAATAAAATGGGTATGGATGTAGCATAAATGTTTAGAGTAAAGCAGGCCATAAACCCATAGAATTTTCATACAAACACCTAACAAAAATCTTCTAAGCACATTTGATAATGCTTCAAGAGACTTGACAAATGTTGTTGAAAATTTTGTTTGATGTTAACACTTGATTTTGGAATTAATGGAGTTAATGAAAACCACATTAACTGTTAGAGTTTTGTTTATTCAACACATTTTCCATCCCGCTTCTTTAACTTGTTGTTTTCAGTACCTCAAAAATGTGAACCCCCATTAACTTTTAAAATAAATCAAATTAACATTTTGAAAAAAACATTTCTCAAAACAAAATTCTACTGGTGTATAGCTAGCTCTAATTTTCCAAAAATCCTGCTTGCTACATCTTTGGTTTCCAGCAAAATGCATTCTTCAAAAAAACATTCAAACTCCTGGAAAAAATATAGTGCAACCTGTGCTCTGTTGTCCCCTAGGTCTA